AAAACAATTTTTTTGCAGTGTAAACCTCAGAGGTCTGAACTTATGGATAGCAGCTTGGAATGCAGTGCAATATTAAAATGTGGCTGTTGATATTTGTTTTGTGTTAATGCTGATAACTAATATTATGCCTGATATTATAAATCTATAGTATTGTCATGAACATTAAAGCTGTCTTTTAATTTTTTTTGAAAAGTGGAATTAAGAATAAAAACATGATCATATACAAGCTTGACGGGTTGAATTTTATGAAGAATATTTATTAATATTTTTTGCATTGTGCTGCATTTTGGACTGAATTTAATTTTATTATAATAATACATGTAAAAAATTATGTTTAAATTTGAGAACCTTGCAACTAACAATTATTTTAATTATTGGTTAATCTGTTGTTTATTTCTTTAAATAATCTGATATTGTTTATATATTCATATATATATGTGTGTGTGTGTGTGTGTGTAATGTTTTTTAATGAATCTATCATAATATTTTCTTATCAATTACTTTCATTCTTGATTATTGTTCCTTTTATTGATTAGTTGTTGCAGCCCTAACTATTATTTTGATAATTGATTAATCAAATGATTATTTCATTGATCAGATTTATTTATTTTAATCTATAGATGGCCTGAATGAATTGATAATCAAATTTGTTGTCAATGTAGTTGTTGCAGCGCTAGAACCCTATATATGGTGCGTCTCTAATAACTAATAAATGAAGAATAACCAATAACTACCCATTATGAATTTCTTTTTTTCCTGTATTTAGTACATAGAGGAAAGCACAGAGTATCAGGAGCTGTCCAGACACAAACCTCACGTCCTGCTGACCCAGGAGAACACCCAAATCAAAGACCTCCAGCACGAGAACAGAGGCAAGACGGCACGAGTTTCTTCAAAGTGTCTTGCATTTTTTAAAGGGAATCCCTGATTCAACTCTTTGTGCTGTTCACAGAGCTCTGCCTCTCTCTGGAGGAGCACCAGTACGCTTTAGAGCTGATCATGGGCCGATACCGAAAACAGATGCTTCAGCTGATGATGGAAAAGAAAGAGCTGGATACCAAACCTGTGCTCAGCCTTCACCAGGATCATGCCAAGGTGCCAGACCTTTGCTTTCTTAAAGGGGTCATATGATGCGATTTCAATTTTTCCTCTCTTTGGAGTGTTACAAGCTCTTGGTGCATAAAGAAGATCTGTAAAGTTGCAAAGACTAAAGTCTCAAATCCAAAGAGATATTCTTTATAAAAGTTAAGACCTACCTAAAACGGCTCGTTCTAACACGTCCCCACATGTCTACGTCACGATGTGGGAAGATTTGCATAACGCCGCCCAAATGTTCACGCAAAGAAAGAAGGCGTAACTTTTATTCTCGCTGTAGTATTGTTGCTGCCGCCGCCATGTCGTGAAGGCGCTGTGTGCTTCGTTGTGAAAGCAAA